GCCGACCCCCCCCCCGGGGGGGGGCTGCAGGGTCAGGCTCCCCCCTCCTTTAACCTCTGTTCTCCTCCCTGCTCTGTTCTGGGGGGTGCTTTTTGTTGGGTTTTCCTCTCCTTTCCCCACGCAGAGCTCGGGCCCCCCCTCGGTGGGGTTTTGTGGGTGAAAATAACCGGCAGGACAGGGGCTTGGATTTGATTTGCCTTCAGTAGCCCCAAAGCCACCAGGGATGGCACAGCACCCCACAATGCCACCCCGCAGCCCCACGTGCCCTCACCCCCCCAGCGGAGGCGGCGCCGTGCCCCCCACAGCATGGGGAGCCCCAGTGGGACATCCCGCTTCTGTCTGTCCTTCCGGGCGGCCCCCGCCACCCCCTCACCTGGAAAACCACCTGCAGGCTCTGGAAAGTGCTCGGGGCTCCTCGGCGAGGGGAGCTGTAGAAATAAAGTGCACAATAGCAGCAAGTGCTCCCGTCTCTCCTGCCGTCTGTCCCGCAGAGAACGGGGGGGGGAACGGGTGGCCGGGGCCTCCCAAGTTGGGTTTTAGGCCAGAAAATGGCTTTTTGGGAGGTGACACGGGGCTGAGCTGGTTTTGGGGGAGAGGTTGGGGGGTTAAAACCAAAAAACCCCAATGGCAGATGTGAAGAATGCAATTTAATGGGTCACAAAGCCCGTTGAGGGGGGACGTTTGGGGGGTGTTTGAGGGAGATGAGGGTGAAAATACAGTGTGGCTTCGCTCCCGCTTCCCCACCCCCCCCGAGACACAGAAAAACCACAAATTACTTTAAATCCCTTCCCTCTCCAGAGCCAGAGGGGGCTGCAGGTTGGGGGGGGGAGGCTGCAGGAGCCCCCGGGTGGAAATCTGGGGGGGAAGGATGCCTGTGCGGCCGCGGTGCCGTACCTTACCTGGCTGGGAATGCCAGGGGACACGGGTGGGTGGCCGAGAGGTGCCACCAGCCAGAGCGAGGTGGGGGGCTGTGGCCGGGGAGGGGTCCCCCAGCCCTGTGCCGGGGAGGGAGGGTGTTCTGTGGCAAACCAGGGCTGGCCACGGTCCTGCACCCCGTGATTAACGCGGCAGCTCGTCTGTCCGGTCCGAGCCCCAGCTGGGGGGGTGGCAGCGTCCCCTCGGTGCCACCGGGTCACCGGTGGGGACAGCTGGTGGTTGGTAGTCACTGCCACGGCTCAGTGTGTGACAACCCCACAAACGAAGCCACCGTAAATGCCCGTTGGCAGTGGGCACGGTGCTGGGGAGGCACCGCTCTCGCCCCCAGCCCCCTCCCCAGGCTGGGGGCTCGGTGGGTGGGATGGGTCCCGGTGCCATTGAGGGGGCACAGGCAGCATCCATGAGAGCCAGGGGGCTGCTCAGGGTGGGGGGCGGCTGTCCCCGGACTCTGCCCCATGGAGCTGGGGTTCCCTGATGGAATGGGGCTCCCCCTGTGGGGTCCCATATGGGATGGGGGCTCCCCCATGGGATGGAGCTTCCTCTATAGGGTCCTAATATGGGGCAGGGTCTCCCCTCTGAGGTTCCATATGGGCCAGGGACTCCCCTATGGAGCAGGGGCCTCCCCTAAGGGGTCGGGGCTTCCCCTATGGGGTCCTACATGGAGCAGGGTCTCCCCTATGGGACAGGTGCTCCCCTACAGGATGGAGCTTCCTGTATAGGGTCTTTACGGGCCAGGGTCTCCCCTATGGGGTGCCATATGGGGCAGGGGCTCCCCTATGGAGCAGGGGCTTCCTCTATGAGGTCCCATATGGGGCAGGGTCTCCCCTCCGTGGTTCCATATGGGGCAGGGGCTCTGCTATGGGACAGGAGCTCCCCTAGGGGATGGAGCTTCCTGTATAGGGTCCTATATGGGGCAGGGGCTCTCTCTATGGGGTCTGTATGGGGCAGACCCATATGGGGCAGCAGCTCCTCTGTGGAGCAGAGGCTTCCCCTATGGAATCTATATGGGGCAGGGGCTCCACTATGGAGTCTTGGCCTCCCCTAAGGGGTCGGGGCTCCCTCTATGGGGTCCCATATGGGGCAGTGGGGTCCCCTGTGGAGCAGGGGCTTCCCCTCAGCGCTCCATATGGGGCAGGACCTCCCCTTTACGGGGTCCCATAGGGGGCGGGGGTGCCCCGCGGGGCGGGGGGGGTGCCCCGTTCCCCGGGGGGGCTGCCGAGGGTGCCGATGTGTGTGTGTA